TCATGGCGAGAAGGTCCCGAAATTGTGAAAAACTGCATAACGAAATTCTGACGGGACACTTCTTTAATGCTCGGATATTGTGGGCATGGGCATGGGTGTCTACCAAGATGAACGATAGCTGGAAATAAGCATACTGTACCCTTGCGGTTGTCAATATGCCGCGCATGAAGTCATATTTTTCTCTTGAAGCGATATGTTCTCCAATGGATTGAAAATGGTATCCAGCAGCAAGAATCACGGCATACCGAGCTCGCAGCGTTTTTTTTCCAAATTCATAGGTACCATCATAGCGTAAATACAGCTTTTAAATGTTTGACCTACGCAACGCAAATGGCTGGCACAAGCTATCGTCCATGTTGGCTGCCCCCCATGGGCATCGCAAGAAAATTATGTCATCATCAAAACTACTATGCTATATTTTTTTGTTAAATATCGATATTACAGGACCTTATGGGTATGAAGTTTCGGTCACGACTGAGCCGGCAGGTCTAGAGTTAGCCGTCAAAAGAGGTGGCATCAGGCACGTCATTGTTTGCGGACATTCCGATTGCAAAGCCATCAATACGCTTTATCGACTTCACAAATGTCCCAGTGATTTTGATCCAAACTCACCTATGGATCACTGGCTTCGGAGGCATGGATATACATCCTTGCAAAAATTGGAAAAACGTCTCAGTGACAAAAGTGCTGGGCCTTTGAAATTTATTTCGGACAATCCAGCTTTTAGGTGGGTTTGGTCGAAACTTTTTGGACTATTTAAGATGAGTGATTGCAGTTTTGAAGCGATCATTGATGAAGAGGATAAATGGAATGCGGAAGACAAATTATCGCAAATCAACGTGCTGCAGCAGTTGGAGAACTGCGCTACTCACGGCTTTCTAAAGGTGGGAATCTTGCTTTGGGGTCGAATATTTGCAAGAATCTTGTAATCCTTATGATTTAGTCTAGCCGTTCTTTTTAGGAATTCCTCGATAAAAAGGAGGTTGATTTGCACGCCATGTGGTTTGACATCTTTGCTGGTGAGATGTACCTCTTTAGTAAGCCACGCCGCAAATTCATAGTTGTGAACGAGGAGACTGTGGATGAACTGGAGAAGGAAGTGAACAAACACAAGGCTTGATTCTTTGCAGTACTCATAGGTCACATTTCATGAGTTTACAGTACTCATCCTGTTGTTGTTTCTGTTTTAACTTTCTCAAGTTAATTTTGGCCTGTTATAATCTTATGACAAGTTTCACTTTGTGATTTTTGAGCTACTTCTATGTTAATCAGGTGTCTAGTCTTGTTCACTCGTTACCCTACCTCAACTTCTAATTACTTGACAAACTCCCATTTTCACGCTTTTTGTATTACTTCGCACATTTTATGTTATAATACTCATTTACAAACTTGCTCAAACTACCCGTGATAATTTTTTTGCTATGATTCTCTTTTTTCTACCTCATCATATCTTATCTCTCCGGTACCTCGAAAAGTGCCTTGACAATTTCCTAGCCAGAAAACTTATTGATGACTGCCTATAGATTGTATCACTCATTGATCAGATAAATCACTGGTTTTTCACCTTCAATTTTTGATGGATTTAACTGTTGAGACAGCTTTATATCTCACTGGATTGCATATGATGTGGAGTGTTCGCAATGTGAACATTTATAGCAGCTTATTCCAGCTGCAAATATTATCGGCTTGTGGAGTTTGCACCAGCAGACTATCAAGGTTTCTTTGAGTACGTTGTTGAGCATATTGTGTATAGGTGAGAAAGGTTTTTTTCATTCTAGTCCAACAAGTATTTGATGTTGCTTCAGATCAAACCAGTATGGCGCGGAGAGCATGCAGAGAAATACCATGGCAAAAGAAGCCTTCATGTACCTTAATGATCTTGTCGAAACTTCAAGGAACTGGACAATCAAGTGAGTTCAAGGTTTTCGTTTTGCAAAAAAAAAACCCTCAAAGAATGGCCGTATCTCTAGCTAAACCGTGGCAGCCATAACGATTTTCAGTGTATAACTAAATTTGACGTTCGGTTACATTCTATGTCTTTGAAATAGTGTCTTTCTGACCATAATAAATGCTGACTGATATCCACTATAGCCGATTAGAACACAATTCGATCTTAAAACAGGTGGCATAGAAGGTGTCACACAACCAGCCGATTGATAAGGCCCTGAGCATACTTCACACCGTTTAAGTGGCAACGCGATTTGGCAAAACTGTAACTGATAATGAAATATGTAAGCGCATGCTGACTGTACAGAAAGTAGAGCATCTTATTTATTTACGAAAATCATACACATTATGCATTGTAGTCTAGAGTGTTAGATTTGAAGATCCGGCAAGTGCCGGTCAGGTGACGACCCTCGCGTGAATATTTTGATAAAGGCGACGCAAACTCAGAAAATTCTCATTGTTAATTCGTTGGCTATAAGGAAGCGAGCTGTTCAGCAAAGCGGGTAATCCGGTTTTTTATGCTATTTTGGTTTTATAGAATTACAGAACAGATGGCATATACATGTGAGGAGAAATTTCATCATTGCAATGTGTTACTTGTAAGAGGCTTAGGAAAAAGCCGATTCTGTGGTTTTTGCAGGGCGAAACTAAATGTGATTTAACTCTTGAATGAGCAAGTTGGATAGAATCACAAAAAACCGGTTGAAGTGTATACCGAAAACAACTTTGAACAGGAAAATCAAAGTGTCAAAAAACAGCAAAGCTTAGAAAAATTGTTGATAATCATTTAGATCGCAAGACAGTACATTCAATCTATTTTGGGCAAAAGTAAAAGTTAAGCGTAGCTGCGGTATGTAGCAGAACGAAGATAATGGAAGGAATCTTATGGTTCCAAAAAAATAGAATTTCCAGTACAACGAAAACTGTTCTTGGATTTTAGTCAGTTGCTTCATAATTTTTGTAAATAGCTTATCTCACAGTAAACTGATTTTCAAATGCACAAAGAAAATTGGACAAAGTTGCTAGAAGTTAGATAATAGGTTTCAGTAGGAATTCTAGCACAATTGCTGGAGGTTATTCACTGCGCTGTAGACCGTAGTGTAACAGAAAAGTTGTTTTCGAAAGCGTCTCAGTCAGCATGAATTCCTCCTATATAAGAAGATTTAGTGAATCCAGAAACAAAGAAAAATCCAGGTTTTTTTCTGCTTTTTTCACTAGTAAATTCTCTTCAAGGG